CAGCTGGGATCCCAAGATCGCCTGGTAATATCCATTACCAATATCCCCGATTTTGACAGCTCCCGTCTTCGCCCACATTTTGTGGACTTTCCTGTGGATGAAAGCGAAGGGGAGGCTGCCACCCATGATCCTGAAAGTGATAGCTCTACTCCATCTATAGCGAACCCTAGCATCTGTGCTCTTCTTGATTCTTATAGTTGGACACAGTGGGTCATCCTCTCCATCTTCACCGTCTGATTCGTCATACATGAGCTCGTCCCCTTGTGGGAATTCCGGTTGGGGTCCATTCCCCAGAACAGAATCCTTGTAGGAGGCTCTATTCGGGTGATTCTCCCTGTGTTCTTCTTCTTTCTTGTTGCTAGCCTGAGGCGATTCAACCCCCTCCATTTCCGAGTCTGTCTTCTCCTCCGAAGTCGTCATGATCGCGTAGTCCATACTTCCCTCGCCGGTGAACCCTTCACTCATTGTCACTTTAGCCTTCTTGTTGGGCTGAATCGGCGTTGTCGTCGGGGACCCATCTGGTGGTTTTGGATCGGGAACCACCCCCTCCGATGGGGGATCCATCTCTCAACGGTCGAAAAAGGGAAAAAGAAGAAGAGAGAGGTCAGATCGTTTCTCTCTCTTACTTTCCCTTTCTCCCTCTCACTGCTTAACTCCTTTATGAAATTGGGCATTAGAAAAGAGTTTACTAATGGCAACACATCCTACAAAATGGATTGAATACATCAAGCCCTATACTGGAATGAAAATGCAAATCCTATAAGTCACAAGTCGAGACAAAAGGAAAGCCACAAACTTATTTTGCCAAAATCCTGTTGTGATTGCTTCCCCAAGGACAACAACCAAATTTGTTTTGAGCTGCTTGAGAACCCTTTCTTGAGAAAACTGAGCCCTCCATAGCGAACAGAGCACCGTTCTCTCCAGATTGAGCTGAGTAATGCCCTCCAAATGACCCTCCCCCTTATGCTAATGGAAATGAACATGTAATGCTGCTACCGACCCAATGTAATATAGTCACCCACTGACCCGAAGGCCGAAGGCCTCCTAGTAAAGTGACCCGAAAACAACCCTGCAAAAAGAAAACGGTAGACAAAACACAAAGCAAAAAGATGATCTCTGTCTTCCATCCCTGATTCACAAATCACACAATTGTAGGACCATCATAACCTCATTTAAGCATCTTTTGACAAGTGGAAATATGATCATTTATAATCATCCAGACCAAAAACTGATCCTTAGATATGATAATTTATAATCATCTATAATATTTGAGCCAAGCTACCCATAAGGAACCCTGAAGGCCTGAACTAATAGAATAGTCCAAATATGACGAAAAACACAAGCTAGGTTCCAACTTGAGAGGTCTTTTATACCCAGTCCAGCTTCAATTTTTGGGAAACTTCGCCGTTTGAGAATCTGGATGGAGGCTGGCGGCTGGTCAACACAAATCTCTTGCCTCTGCTCCTGCTTCTTTCCGCATCGATTCAACACAGATCCAGGCCGTTCTTGCCTGACGGTGGCTTTTTTAGCAGCAAAAAACAGAGGTCGTGACACCATCCTAGTTGTTCATGACTTCCGATGACTCTGCCCCGACCGACGATTCAAAGGCACAGATGTACCCGCCGACGATTTAGAGTCACGCTCCTCCCAATTTCCGACACAAATATACAATTTTGTGTCAGTTAAATGAACCGACACAACCCAATCGAGAATAAACACTTTTTTTCCTGTAGTGCCTGATGTAAACGACCACCCCAAATATCTAATTGGTAGTTTCCCCAATTTATAACCAGCTCTTTCAGCCATAGACAACTGCCAATCAAGAGGAATAATAACACCACAATATAACACACATTTAGAAGGATTTGATGCCAGACCAGTCAGAGAACGAAATTGATCCAAGATTTGGAAGCTGCGGGAAAAAGGAGATCACAGCTGGAGCTAGGTCCAATGGTGGCGGTGCTGTTGTTGCCAAAGGAAGCCTTCCGAGGGTGCTCGAAAGGCGACTATCAACTCGTCGTCCGCTGGTGGGACGTTTGGAATTTGCTACCCAAGTGATGATCTTGCGACAGCCATAATGTGTCCCTCCAAATAATAACGCAAGACTAAAGCTTCTTAGGGACAAAGATGATAATAACGGGGAAACCCATTCCTTGTTGTTTCCATGGACCAAGTCACACAAGGGGAAAATTTTATTAGTCTACCCCATCCATGATGCCATTGCAGAGCCGAAGGTCCCAGCTGAGGCGAGAAAGAAGAATAGAGGTCAATAGGGGTGTTCAAACGGATTGGTTATCGTGGTAACCATATTAACCAGTAATATTCGGTTAATTTGGTTTGGTTAATTTGGATAATTGGTTTGGTTTGGTTAAACAATTTAGTTTATTTGGTTTAGGTGGTTTGGTTTGGTTTCAACATTGCTAACCAATGAAACCAATTAACCAATTAATAATACACCTAATATACAAAAACAATTGATACTTTCATCCAACCAACCAAACCAAACTTCCGTGATTCCCTATTTTATTTCCATGTGCACAATAAACCAAAATAATATGGGTCAAAAAATAAAATGGGTCTGCCTATTTACTAAACCAAAACATTTTGGATAGCTACTAGACTTTAGGATTACGTACAATACCATGACAACCACCTCAAACTATGTATAGTTTAAGTGTTTTGTAGGAGAGTTTTAACTTCATGATGAGGGGTATTAGTAAGTATTTATGTTAAGTGGTTTGTTGTAAGCTAACTATATTAGGTGCAGAGTTGATGAATGATTAATCATGGATGGTTAGTGTTATTATTATTGCTTATATATATGATAGATTATGATAGTAACAACATATGGTTATGTTTTATTCATTAATAGGTTAATTATTTTTATGTAATGTTATGTTATTTGGTTAATCCGATTATCCGATTAACCAAACCAATTAAATTTTGGTTTGGTTAATTTGGTTTTCGTGTTAATTTGGACGGTTTGCTTAAGACATTTTATTCCATGGTTAATGAAATTTAGGCTAAATTGGTTTGGCTATTACCACGGTAACCATTCTGAATTATTCTTTCCGGAGAGCCTGGTATGATGCCACCCGGAGGGACAGGAAGAAAAGGCCTTTTCGCGCGCAAGTAGATTCTGAACGCACTATATAAGTTGGCATTTGACTGAAGCATACCGAGAACGAGACAATCCACATCGATGTAATGAAAGAGAGGGGCCTACGACAATGACGAAACCACCCAGCCATTGACAGTCCCGAAGACCAACTAGCTAATCAGACGCGAGCCCCTCCTCGGGCGGATTCCTCCTTTTGCTCCTCAGCCTACGGGCGTCAGAAGTGAATTACGAGTCGGACCAATTAGCGAATCGAGAGCAGACAGGGATTGAATGACTCTGGAAATCGCTATCCTATTCATGTAACAAAGGCAACATTAGAAAGAAGTTAGCCACTAACCGCAAAGATCTTTTTCGTTCATTCAATGTGAACATGCAAGGCAATCCGAATTTAGATTTTCGGTGCGACGGTTAGGCATCCTTAGACGAAAGACCCCTAGAGCTAGGTCAAGCTGCGAATTGGAAGTTCCGGAGGCGAGGCAAACCAAGTTGTATCAAGAGCTACAGTTTTCATCGGCACGGACCGCCGCGCTGGGCATGGACCGAACCTTGGGGGAAAAGGTTCTTTGAGGGGATGGATTGATGGCAACCCATTCGGTGGGAGGATCTGCTCGACGATATGGGTTTGAGCTTTTGGGGTTAGATGCTTAATTATGTTATGGGTTAGTTTATGTTAGCCTGTTTTAGAGTTATAAGTTATTACGTATGTTAATAGCATGGGCCAAGTAGAAAAGTAGTAATAGTAGTGGGATGGGTTACGTATTAAGAAATTGGACTAGAAGTTAGCTCCTGTTGGTGGCCGAGAGGTCTAGGTTAATTAGTAGGGTTCAGGTAGTGCTAGAGTTACGTATTAGGTTTTTCTAATTTATATATAAGTAAGTTCAACATTAGTTTCGATAATCAATTGAATAATAAAACTAAAAATTCTTTCGACACTCTACGTCGTTCTCTCGCTTGTGAGTTGCAAGGAAATCCTGACTCGATGGCAGCGAGTTGCCATCATAAAATAATCCTCAAATTCACTCATTTGGCCATTTAGCCTCTCATTTGGCCTATGGTTGAAGGAGGTTGGTTATGAGTAAAAGGGTTATTTCCATTTATCTCATGGATTGTGGTCAGCCTAATAGAATATCATACCCATATGATAAAAGATTTATTATAAGAATATCTTGCTTGCGACGATTAATCACTAGAATCTATCGGTTGGTGGGGGAATCTACCATCAACAGCCGGAATTTGGCACTAGTTGTTAAAACTCGTGGGCAACCGAAATGTTGGCAGTTGTCGACGTCCACCAGAATCTATTTGACGTTTGCTAGAGTTAGCCCCAAAAATAATAAAGAGGAGACTGAAAAATGTAATTAGTTCGACCCTTCTACTATACTCTAGCGATTCGAACTACAAATTAAAATTGTATCATAACTTTAAATGTTTAAGTTCAATTTGTACTATTAAAAAATTTATATAGAAAACATTCAATACAAACTGAATTTGTACTATAACGTAAAATAGATTGTAAAATTTCTCAATTAGTTTACCTGATATATTATTCCTGATAAACAAATAAACATATCACCCTTTATTTGTTTGTTTTTTTGTGAAATGTCACTCTTTAATCTAATCCATACTTTTCATTATTTTTTATTTAAACATGTTTATGACCTCGAATGTTCCAGTTCCAGAGAGAAATTAGGCGGCTCTTGTTGGGTGGTCACAAAATGACAAAAATAAAATATCATCAACCAATACGGTGCCGCGTCCAGCGCCTTCCTAACCTTAATCCTGTAAACGGCGTCGGGCAGCTTCCTCTCCCTGCAGCTCTTCGTTTCCTTTCTTGCGTCTAAAGGAAACCCTCAGCTGGTTTCTTTCGCCTTTCCTCTTCGCCGTAGAAACAACTGGACGAGGGCAGAGAGAAGAACAGACGACGATGTCCGCCACCGTTGCCGATTTAGCGGCGCGTTCCTCTGCCGCCGCCGCTTCTAGTCAGGCATCGCGTTACGTCCTGAAGTCGTCCTCTGACCTCACGCCCGCTGTTGCCGCTGCCGTCGTCGGCTATCGGTATGCGCTTCACTTTCTATTTCGCCTTCTCTTCTTATTCGCGCATGCTACAAGATTAAGAACAACCTCGAAATCCCGAATAGAACGCAAACGAAGTAACTCGGAATTTAAATGGGGGTATAGGGTTGCGATTATTTGGATTTCATTGGTTTTCATTTTTGTTAATTTAAGGGTTGAAATCCTTTTGCGTTTTCTAGATTTTGTGATTGAACAGGGTTTGGTTGATAAGGTTTTTGAAGAACGATTGTGCTGATTTGGTGGAGAATGTTACCATTTTTAGGGTTTTGTGCAAACCAACAGATGTTACTTTTCCTTTACGATTCCTCTGTCCTCGTACTGTTCTCAGCTTTGAGGAGGATAATCAGCAATTTGAATTCAGTAGTCAGTACTTCATTTCCGGTTGTTCTCTGTTATTTTTAAGGTGAATGAACGAGTTTAGGGTTTCAAAGCTTCAACTCCATCGATTGTTGTTTGTAACAACAGGTGCCTTTTCTTCTTTTTTACCTCATAGAATGCAATTGAAGAGAGGATTTGCAAACAAAGGGTTTAGTGTTGTAGAAATTATGTTGCTGCCCTGCTGGTATACATCCCTTTCCCCATTATGAGAGGAAAGATGCTGCTCTTATTCTTTGAGTTATCCAACTTCAGGAGTAGTTTTTTATGGAATTTTCTAGGTGCTAATTGGTGGTCATTTGAGTTCAATAGATGTGCCTATGTTTGTCATACTGCACAGGAAAGTAGAAGCAACAATCACTTTAACTAGGTTCTAGGTGCTAATGTACATATTAACTGTTCGTTCCAACCAGGTACAAGGAAGCTGTTGGAAAAGGTTTCCGCAAGATCACAGGAAGACGAACTCTTAACTTCTTGCCGGATAGATCCAGCATCGTGTGCCAGCCTAACTCAGCTGCATTGCCTAGTTTGTCCCTCAGCCAAAGTCCATATGGACTGAATCCGATCCAGCATATCATTACTTCAAAAGGTCAGTTCTCTCGTTTTGCTTCTGTCAAACAAAGATCGAGTAATGGGTGATAATGGCTGTGCCCTTGTGTCTTAGATGCATAATTCTAGGCTGAAAGTGACTTGGTTATGTATATATTTGGACACTGAAAGGAACAAACGTTCGTGGATTTTCCATATCTACATGTGCTTTTAAGGTCAGTTTCATAGGGAATCATGAATTTCAGCTTATAAGTTTAGGAAGATTAGACTGGACGACCTTTGCTCTGGTTTTTGTTTAATGGAAAATACCTTACTGAATTTTAAAGCGTAACCAGCAAACCATGGCCCAACCTTACTTGCGGTAGGATACACATTTCTAAGGTTTGACAAATGAAAAGTTTTGCTGCACTTTTAGATTGAGATTCCATTGCATATCATAAGTTTACAACTCAAACTCACGTCAGAATGAACAAGGTAGTAAAACCATGGATTCTATCTGGAATCCAAAGGAAAGGTAAGTCGAAAGTTTAAAAGCAAATTGCAGAATCTTATGGAAATAGATATAATTACCAATAACACCCTATCTGCTTGTCGAATATAAATTTTTCGATAACAAAATCATGATCTTATTTCTGATCAATATCTATTAGGTTTGACTTGTTAGAATATCTAATCACCATATCCAGGAAGAAGCGTACACAAGTGTGGATTTTACCCTGATTTTGCCCAGTTGATTGACTCCACTAGTGTGACAAGTACCTTTTACATGAAACCAAACTATACTTGATTTTATGAACCCATGAAAGAATAAGCTTTTAGGACTCAACATGGGATTTTGACTACCCTGACATTGAACTTTCAATTTGCAGAAAGCCCTTCTATGAACATTTCCTCCACATCAACCTCACTTTTCAAATTTCAAGATGGTGAATCCTCATACAATCTTCCAAAGCTACCCAGAAGAGCATCCATAAAACCAGCAAAAGCATACAAGAGCTTCCACTCTCCAGTCTTGGCCGAGAAGCCAGAATGGTGGTGGAGGACATTAGCATGTGTCCCTTATTTGATTGCCTTGCAGATATCAGCTGCAGGATACTACATCCAGCCCTTACTAGAACACTATGGCTGCTTCGAAAACTTGATCTTCTTCGTTCCTGGAGCAATCACACGGCTACCCATGTGGTTTACATTGCTCTACTGCTTCTTTGCCTACGGTGGGATTGTGAAGAACAAAGAATGTCCTCACTTCTTCAGGTTCCATCTCATGATGGGATTGCTGTTGGAGACATCTTTGCAGATAGTATGGTTCATTAGCAATTTCTTCCCTTTGATTCACTACAAGGGCAGGTTGGGAATGTACTATTGGGCAGGAGTTGGGTTTGCTTATATACTGGTTCTGCTGCAGTGTGTGAGGTGTGCCCTTGCAGGGGGCTATGCTCACGTACCTTTCATTTCAGAGAATGCGTATATTCATACCCAGTTCAACATTGGTGGTTTGCAAAGGCCCTGGTGAAAGAAAGATGAATGTTGATGGCTTGGAAAGAGAAGAGGGCTAGTATCTATTGGATATTGATGAAAAGATGGTTTGTAGAGTAGATTAGAAGAAGTTTTTCTAACCTTTATCATTATGTAAGCTTCAGTTTTATCCTTTCTATTCCCCATAGTCCCAGGGGTTTCGAACCTTGATGACATTATTTTATTGATATATTACTATGTATCATTTATAAATAAATCAACAATGATGTTTGTTGAAATAACTTGTGGTCATACAATAGTTACAAAACGAAGGGAAGTCCATAAATGTGACTATTTGATTAATATGTTAAGCTTGACATAGTTTATTTTATATCTTGTTTACTAATGTATGTTAGACTACATTACAAGGTGATTTCATATGCCAGATGTTACACCTAGACTAATGAGTAACTGGAATTCAGGTACCCAGCCAATCCCACTTTTGAGAATGCTATATGGACATCTTTATAGAATTCAGGTATATACATGTTAGATAGGTTGGCAAAAATTAAGAGTAATAAGCATACACGTCACAAAGGTTTCATTTTATTATACAATGCAGTCATAAATGTTCTATTTTGAACGATTTGTAACTTAGGTTTGAACTAGTAATAAATTGGTCATTTTCGTCTATTGGCATCTAAATTCTAACAATTTGTTAACTTTGTCCAGTTAGCCTTCAACCTCATAAAAAAAAAAGTAATAAAGCAATACACCACACTTAAACTAAATCTTATTGGTACAATTGATCGTTAAAACTTGAATATGATAACTAGCATTAACCCTGCCCTTTGGGCAGGTAACTTTTAATTTATGTGTATATGCGTAATATGATTATCAAAGCAATAATTTTCTAAAACCACACAATTAGTTTCCATCACAAAAATAAAGGCCTAGAGACACCACGAAAAGAAAAAGAAATCTCGCATCTCAACTTATAATTAAATTTAAAAAGAAACACCAGAAGGTCCGTCCATCTTGATGAAGTTCTTCGGGGAAAGTTTGGTGGGCATATACTGTCGTCTTGCGGCCGATCAATCTATGAGAAAGAATCGTACATGCATTGATGGCCAATCCTCCCATCCAAATAGTAAGGATTATTTAACATATGTTAGTGAGTGAATCTATATACAAAATATATCTATTTATGATATATCGAGATTTTAGAATTTGTAACCTCTAAACCTACAATACACGTATAAAATGGAGATAGAAACCATATTCGTTAAATCTCTAAACTTTATGAATCTATACTTTGGATTTCATTCTCCAAATGACCTCTTGATTAATTTACCATTAATATTTTAAAATATATTTTCGATTAAAAATATTAAAAAATATTATGATTATTTTTTAGATGAATTATATTATTATTATTGAGGATAAGTAATCATCACAAATAATTATAATTTATTTCATCATCTCTTTCCTCCCATATATCCATCCAAAATAAATTGATCAAAAAGAAAAAAAGAAAAACCTAGTTTTCCTGAACAAAAAAAAATGACATAGAGGCGAACGCGAATGGTAAACAAAAATTAAAATTAAAAAAAAAAACTCGATTACCGAAAATTGCGGTCAGGCTTTTAAGGCTGACGTGGAGGGGGTCTTAATCTTAATCCTCTTTACTATATTTTAAGATTACAGCAAATTAGGTAGCTTGTAGATTTGATTTTGAGGTATTAATGAAAAGATAAAGAACATCCATTTCAAACTGCGAAAAAAATTAAAAAACTTCTGCAGTGAAAATGCAAAAGAAAACATTGTTAAGAGTTCTACCGTGATTCAACCAAAGAAAACAAGGGAATCAAATTTTTGGCCACAACAGCCACGAAAATGACAACATTCCAGGGTTTCCCCCTAAATAGTAATACACACGTTATTAAAAATAATTCTCAAAACACATACGTTATAAAACAATTTCCCAATCTACACATGTTTGAACAAGACTATTGTCGTCAAACGCAGTGAAACAATTCACCGCTTTTATTAAACACGGTGAAAACATCACCACTATCGTCAAAGGCGGCGAACACTGCATTTGTCGAGAGCGGTGAATAGGTCACCCCTGATGTGTAACGCAATGAGGGGTCAGATATGAGAAGAAAACAAAAATTCGCGCCTCACAGCATCCGACGACTGCGGATAACCGAGGGGGGGGGGGGGCTGACAGCAGACGTGGACAACAACGTATTCACCGCCCTTGAGAAACGCGGTGAATTCACTGTCATCCACGTCAGCGATCCGCGTCGCCTCGCCCGTGAACCATACCCGTTAGATGGAGTTGCCCGCGGATTCTGGTTTTCCTCCCATATCCAACGCCTCACAGCATCCCACGTAAGCGATCTGCATCCTTCATCGTCTTTGTCTGACACGATGAAGATGCTGCATTTGACGGTCGCGATAACTTCAATGCATTCGACGGCTGCGATGACCTCATTGTGGTTGTCCTCAGCAGCCTCCTTGTCCTATAAATTCAGCCCCCATCCCCATTTCAACCACACCACCACACTTCACAATTCTTTCTCCCTCCCTTCCTCCACTCTATGAATTTTAATTATGGTCCGTGGTTGAGGTTAAGGCACATCCTCCACACCATAATAAATTTCTAGATTTATTTCATACAACTCTCCCCTCCAAAAATCCGTCGAAAATCCATCCGGCTTCTGTAAAAAATGGAAGAAGAGGCTCTTAGGGTACCCATTTGCTTTTCATTTTGTGATTTATTGATTTGTAATTGAAATAATCCGATTTCATTCGATTTTTTGTTATATAGATGGTTGCCAATATATACGATCATCGATTGCATATCGATCACGGGCCAAGGGATGCGAGGTATTTAACCGAGCAAACAACACATCGTTCCCGTGCAATTTGGCACAACAATCCGGTAAGCACGCCATACTGTCTAAAACTTTAATTTTCAATATTTTGAGTTTGTATTTTGCTTTCCTTTCACTAATAGTTTGCTGATTTTTGCATTTTTTCGTAGTAGTCACTCATTCCCATCATCCATAAAGGGATTTCACGCTTGCGCGAATAGCATGACCGACTCGGGCCGTATCTAGAGAGGACGGGTTTGGAAATGATGAGACACTTCATGCATATTGAGATCGATAACCATCTGTTGACGGCAATGTCAGAGAGGTGGCGCCGTGAGTTACACACCTTCCACTTTCCTGATGGGTAAATGACGATCACTGTCAGAGACATTGCCATCCCACCGGGTTGCCAATCACCAGAGAAGCCATTATCGGCACCTTGAGAGTTACCAAAGAAGGCTAGGGCCTCTGATTAGGGAACGGTTGGGCTTCAATGTGCCGACGACAACGAAAATCCAATGACGGGGGCATCCACCATTGAATGCGAGGCAACTATCGATCGCGTGGCTTGTTAATCACATCCAACAGGAGGTTCGGATCGATGCACAAACCCCCGAAGAATAATTGGAGTGGTATGCACGTGGCTACCTCATTGCCTTGGTTGGTGGATTCATGTTTCCAAATAAGGAGAATAGGCGGGCACATGGCATGTGGTTATCGTTACTGCTCGGTGACTGGGACGATAACAAGAGAAAGAGTGGGGGGAGCGATGGTCTATCGAGAGTTGTGTATATGCTCGAAAAAGGGTGCAAAACAATCTTACGGTGTTATGTTCATCCTCCAGCTCTTGGAGGAGCCACCCGACTTGAAGTTGAGGTCGTTGCCTAGCCACCTCGAGTACACTTTTTTGAGAGGTGGTGGCAAGCTCCTGATCATCATTAATTCCAATTTCACATTAGAGCAAAATGCTGAATTGATAGAGATCTTGCATCGTAATGAGAAAAAGTGGTGAAGGTCGAGGTCATAAAGCTTTTGGATGCTGGGATCATTTAACCCATCTCTAATAGTCAATGGGTGAGCCCGACACAGCTGGTACCCAATAAAGGAGGAATGACGGTAGTTGTTAATGAGAAGGAAGAGGTCATACCCATAAGGACGCTACTCGAAATGACCACTTCCCTCTACCTTTCATTGACCAAATTCTAGAAAGGCTAGAGGGTCACAATTTCTATTATTTTCTGGATGGAATGTCTAGATACTTCCAAATTTTCATCGCCCCGGAGGATCAAGCTAAAACTATATTCACTTGCCTGTTTGGAACATTAGCATATAGGCGCATTCCTTTTGAATTGTGCTATTCCCTGGCCACATTCAAGAAATGCATGGTGGCTATCTTTGACAAACTTGTGGGAGAAATCATGAAAGTATTGACGGAAAATTTCTCGATATTTGGGGATTCATTTGCTCATTGTCTGGCTAATCTGGAGAAGGTCCTTGCACGGTGCGAAGAAACAAATTTAGCTTTAAGTTTGGAGAAGTCATATTTCATGGTGCGAGAATGCATTGTGTTGGAGCATAAGATTTCAAGAAGGGTATTGAAGTTGACAGAGCTAAGGTCGAGACCATAAGGAACCTTCCACAACCGATGTCAGTCAAGGGCATGCGGGGTTCTACCACTGGTTCATAGAAAACTTCTCAAAGATCGCTCTACCATCGACGAAGCTTCTTGATAAGGATGAACCTTTCATTTTCACGAAGGAATGCTTTGAAGCATTCAACATTCTCAAGGCTAGGCTCACCAATGCCCCGGTCATGGTTTCTCTGGATTGGAACCTTCCCTTTGAACTTATGTGCGACGCTAGTGATTATGTAGTGAGAGCAATGTTGCGACAAAGGAGTTATTGGTGATCATCTTTGCTTTCGACAAGTTTCGGTCTTATCTAGTGCTTTTGAAATTCATTGCCTACACCGACCACTCTATCATCCGATTCCTGATGAGCAAGACCGACGCCAAGCCTCATTTGATCAGGTGGATCATGCTTCACCAAGGGTTTGATGTGGAGATCAAAGACAAGAAATTAGATAAAAACCTTGAGGCGGACCACCTCTCTCGACTCGAAGGTCTTGGTGGAAACAATTTCCAAGGCGAGATAAATGACACATTCTGCGATGAAAGATTGTTCGTGCTTGCAGTAGTGGAGAGTGCCACCCCGTGGTTTGCCGACTTCGCCAATTATTTGGTCGGAATTTTTTTTCCAAAAGGGATGAATACCAACGAGAGAAGGAGGTTCTTCGCCGACCTCCGATACTATTTCTGGGATGATCCTCACCTCATCACGATTGGAGCCGATGGGATCATTCGCAGGTGTGTCCCAGAAAAAGAAATGATGGCTATTT